ATTAGGTTTTCCGCCAATTCGAGATTTTAGTGGCCAATTTTTCATCGATTTAGTCAACTCTTTATTGTAGTCTATATATGATTATATACTTAATCCATGATAATTCTATGATTTCTTTTGTGCGACGTAAATTTAAAGGTCAACATAAGTTCATACAGAAAAATAACATCTCAAAATTCATAAATTGATGAAAACAATGAAAGTTAATAATGTAGTACCCCCATTTCTTATTGGATTATTAAAAAACAACATTTATAATGAATTTTAATAATTTTTTTGAATTTTTTTAAGGCTTGATTAGAGCGATTAGGCCCGATTCTCGATCCGGATCGTCGATTCGTCTATCCGGATTGATTTTTAGGATGTCCGATCCGGGTCACCGATCCATTTTTTAAACCACTGGTTTAGATCAATGGTTTAAAACGCTGATAGGTGACCCGCATCGGGCACCTCAAAAATCGATCCGGATATATGAATCAGCGATCCAGATCGAAAATTGACTGCATCGGTCAGATTAAAGCTTCAAAAAAATCCGAAAAAATTATTAAAATTCATTATAAATATTATTTTTCAGGAATTCAATAAGAATTGAGGGTACTCCATTAAGATTTTTCATTTCTTTGCATGAATATGCGAATATTGATATGTTCTTTCCCTGCATGAACTAGTATTTACCATTTAATTTACATCACACAAAAGGATAAACATATAATTATCATAGAATAAGTATATCAACATACATGGACTACAATAAAGCATACAATTATTAGCATACAATCTAAAAATAAAATGACAAACGACGTCATTCTTCTTATTGGTCATGCTGGTGCCATTGATTAAATTCGTTTGACAATTCATTGATTCGATCTAAAGACGAATCATCGATATTAGTGATAATATGTTGGGGTAATTCATGTAGTTATATTTATTATTATTTGTTATTGCAGAATACTTCTATTGACAATAATATTTTCATACATATCAATTACAAACATACATGATAATATAATAAAAAATGCAAGCTGCAAATATGGCTACAACTCAATTATCAAGAACATACATTTTTTGCATTAAAAATTTAATAATAAAATTGAAAAAATGCAAGATAATACAATTGTCATACATGCCACGGTTTTTTTACAATGATATTCACTTTGATTCCTCACGATAATACAATTTAACAACATGTATTTTTTGCGTTCAAAATTTTTAAAATTGAAAATACGTTTTTAATGCAAAACTACATTAAAAATATAATATAGTTTTGCATTAGAAATATAATAACATGTATGTTTTTGCATAAATATTCTATCAATATGAAAATTTTTCAACAAAAACTTTAACAATAAAAGTTAAAAATATGGTTTAATACCTCATGATAATCAAAACCTGGTCACTATTTTCACATCTTTTTGAAAAATCATGATTTTTCAAAAAAAATCAATCATGTACTAAAAAAAAAAAACAATTCTTCATAGAGCCACCTAAATTAAAAAATATAGTTTTGCATTAAAAATATAATAACATGCATTTTTTTGCATAAATAATCTATCAACATACAATATTTTCAACAAAAACTTTAACAATAAAAATTAAAAATATGGTTTAATACCTCATGATAATCAAAACCTGGTCACTGTTTTCACATCTTTTCGGAGAATCGCGATTTTTCAAAAATAATCGATCATGTATTAAAACAAAAAAAAAAACAATTCTTCATAGAGCCACCTAACATCAGTCATTCCAACTAAAAAATGCATTAACAACAAATTTTAAAAATATAGTTTTGCATTAAAAATATAATAACATGCATTTTTTTGCATAAATAATCTATCAACATACAATTTTTTCAACAAAACCTTTAACAATAAAAATTAAAAAGATGGTTTAATG